TAATTGTTGCCCCTAGAAGGCCTAAAGGTGCTACTTGGATGTTGGGGTTCTCTATGTGGCCAGGCTGTGGAAAAGTCTCACACATGTGGTATCCCCATACTCAGGAGGAGTAGCAGAATGTATTTTGGGGTGTAATTTTTGGTATGTACGTGCTATGTGTTGGAAATATTTTATAAATGGACAACAATGTGTAAAAAAAAAAAAAAAAAGTTTTCATTTTCTTCTTTCCACATTTTCTGAAAACTTGTGGAAAATTACACATTCAAAAGACTCATTATGCCTCACAGAATATATGTTGGGGTGTTTGCTTCTCAAAATGGGGTCATTTTGTGGGTAATTCCATTGTCCTGGTGCTCCAGGGCCTTCAAAAGTGTAATAGGTAGTCAGGAAATGAAATGTGTAATTTGTGCTCCTTGCATTGTTGGGCCTCTATGTGGCTAGGCTGTGAAAAAGCCTCACACATGTGGTATCCCCATACTCCAGGGGAGTAGCAGAATGTGTTTTTGGGTTGTAGTTGCAAGTATGCATATGCCGTGTGGGAGAAATAACCTTTTAATATAACAATTTTGTTGAACAAAAAAAAAAAAAAATCTTAAATTTTTCAATAGAATTGTGGGGAAAAATGCAACTTCAAAAAACTCACGATGCCTCTGACTAAATACCTTGGACTGTCTACTTTCCAAAAAGTCATTTGGGGGGGTATTTGTACTGTCCTGGCTTGTTAGTGTCTCAAGAAATGAGATAGGACATCGGTACATCAGGTATGATCAATTTTCAGTGGTTGGCACCATAGATTGTAGACTCTATTACATTCACAAAGACCAAATAATATACACAGATTTAAGTTATTTATACCAAAGAAATGTAGCAGTATAAATTTTGGACAAAATTTATGAAGAACAATTACTTATCTGCAAAATTTTACAACAGAAACAAAGAAAAATGTGGGTTTTTTTTCAAAATGTTTGGTCGTTTTTTTAATTTATAGCACAAAAAATATAAAAAAAAACCCAGTGCTGATTAAATACCACCAAAAGAAAGCTCTATTTGTGTGAAAAATAAGGACACATTTCATATGGGTACAGTGTTGCATGACTGAGTAATTGTCAGTCAAAGTTTGACAGCGCTGAAAGCTGAAAATTGGTCTGGGCAGGAAGGGGGTACAAGTGCCCGGTCAGCAAGTGATTAAATACAATATTATTTGTATACAAGAACATACATAGAACTTTGGGACAATTTTATTAGCTTCTTTTTCACCAACATCAAATTGGTGTCATAATATTTACTGCAATGCTTGAAACATTAGTGCAAATTAGGAAGAATAACTTACAGACTATTACAGTTCTATAGTAGGAATGTTGGAAATTTTACAGAAACTGATGTGGATTCTAGACCAGCACTGTCCAGTTATAGTAGCCATTGGTGAGGACGATCCACCTGTCCTTGAAGTAATAGCCGAGTATTGCTGCTATCTTGACATATTGTGAAAATAGATGATCGAACTGAGCTGACAATAACTGGATCCATCTGACAAATGAATTGCTGTATTTTTAATGTGTGTGCTAATTTGTATGGTCCATAGACTTACACGTTGATTCATGAACCCTGTTTGCTAAGATTTATGAATTTTGTGGTTTTCTGTGTGAAGCAGGTAAAACAACTGGCACGCTCACCTTGAATGGATCAGACTCAACTTGCAGCAAATCACAATTTTTTTCTCCCTGTCAGCTGCAGTATTATGTACATTGATTTATGAGTAAATGAATGGTTCCCTTAATTTCCTATGGCAAAGAATATAATCAAATGGTCTAGCAATCATGCTAAAATATTCTCTTCCCACGACTCTGTACTTGGAATATCTTCAGCCTAGGTGACAACCTGGCCCAATACAGTACTATTTTCCCCCAGCTATTATCCTCTTGGTTTATGGCCTATGTATGTATATAAATATAATGGTTTGTATGTGTACAAACTGAAGCAATGGTCTGAATTGCTCACAGCAACCAGACTTTTGCTGTCGTTTTTCATGCGTAGATTAAAAAAAAAAAAATGAAAGCAAGAATCCCATTGGTTATTTTAGGCCACACCTGTATGTTTCTGTACCTTCATATTATATATCACACACAATGATATACAAGTGCCTCCTCTATCTTGTGGATTTTCACAGCATTATTTAACCTAAAATGTCCCTCCGCATCATCTTTCACATTAAAATTCAATATATTTACATTTATATTCTTATCTAACAAGCAAATATTGTTTCTTCACAGTTTGGAAAGGAATGTTCCAAACAGTGAAGTTTTCTCATTAAGTCAGGTTATCTCAATGAGGAAACCTTTAGGGATTTTAGAAAAAGTCGCAGTTATAGGCTACCACGTGGGAGCAAAACATGGATTCCATCTGATTAATTTCCCATGCTCTCCAAGAAGTCATATTCCACGTTTTCCTCAAGTTCCTTCATCACCCTTGTAGTGTCTTCTACTGGGTATTCCACAGAGACATAGAGACCTTGTGCTGAGCTCGAACCTTTTCCCTTTGCTTTAAACACATAACTTAGAGTCCGGAAAAATGGCATGAGCTGGGTGATCTTAGATATAGAATGGAGACTGAGGAGAGGGAACTCGTTCTTCTTAAAGCTGGAGTCTTCAACGACATGTTCCTGAGAGTAGAGAGAAAGGGCACAAGTATTGTTTACATCATACAAGCACTTTGTCTAGCAGGTTGACATGTACAGTATATCTTTGTTTCTTGTTTATCCAACCCACCCCATCCCTTCTCCAACTACTCACAATTTTGAAAAGAGAGAAAATTCTTTCCTGACTTCTTAAAATAAAATAAATCAATAACCTGCATTAGAAAAATGACAATGGCAGAATAATGGTAGAAATCATGCAGTCGTTTTTAACCTCCTTAGCGGTATTCCCGAGTGTAGCTCGGGGTACAATTTCTATACCAAGAGCGGTAACCCCGAGCTACACTCGGGTTACCATGCGGCGTTGCTCTGGGGGTCCCTGCAGCACTTACCTTGTCCTTCGCTCCCGCGATGTGTCCCCTGCAGCGTCCCCGGCCATCTCCTCCGGCCGATGCCGGCATCCGGCTTCTGTGTTCCGGTCCCTGTGACGTCAGGGACGTACGGGAAATTTGAAATTTTTAAAAAATGTCATTTTTACTGTTTCAATGCATTTCACATACATTTTGTCCCTACTGCTTTGTCCGGCGGCGCCCTGCCTGCATTTTGACTGTTCTTTCTGCCTGGAAACTTAGAAATGTCCATGGCGTCCAAAAAGCGTCCCTTTACGTCAAAAGCGGTTTTAGACCGGCTAGAGAACAGCGATAGTAAATCAGAACCACTTGCAGAATTGAGTGATAATGATTCGTGGGGGAAATTCATCATCAGACACTGAAAACGATTTTGCGACTTTGCTCAGTGATGTGCGAATTTGCCTCTGTATTTCAAATTTCAGTGTTTTTGGTTTGATTATATTATTGAATTAAATTTATTATTATATTATTATTTTTTATGATTATTTATTAAATTATAATTTATGATTTCGTGTTTCAAATTTTATCATACCCGGATGTTTACTAGACTCTTGTTCGTCATACAGATTTCAGGGAGTTATTCCTAAAAATTACAGCCTACAATAAAAAAGTACATATTTCCATGCAAAAAAATGGTACCCGCTTTCAGCAAAAAAAATCGGAAAGAATCATACCGCCAGGGAGGTTAAAGGAAATACAGAAGCTGCCTTTGCTGACCACTCCTGTAGGAAATGCTGCTTACTTGGCTCACTTGCTTGGCGTAACATAAAAATATGTTGCCGTCTCTCTTCCAGGTTTGGGACATGCATTCGTGCACCCCCTGCTGACCTGCGCTGTGGTTGGATACGGCAGCAGTTTTCAGCCAATGATTTATGGCTGAAACCTGCTGAACAGCTGTGTTCAATCACAGCACAGAGCCCTGCGTTTACAAACACACTGTCTGTTTCTTCTTCCTGAAAAGCAGGGAGAAAAAACAGCAAGATCTCTTAGTAAAAGCAGTACATATTACACTTGTTAGGCACACAGTTAGCCCCTTGATTGTCCCATGATGTTAACCCCTTCCCAGCCATTGTCATTACTGTAATGTTATGTTGTTTTTGGTTAAGTGTATTTATGGAGGGAGCTACAACTGTGTTTCATTTTATGACTGTTATTGTAAAATGGCAATAAATTTTCTGATTCTAATTGACAGTGTATAGTATTATCATTGATCACTGTATTTGTGTCACTAGTGATGGCAGTGTCAGTCAGTGTACGTTCCAGCCAGCCTCAGTAAGTGTCAGATTGCCAGCCACACTATCACAGTCCCACTATAGGTCACTGATCACCATTACCAGTAGAGCATCATAGCTGTGAAAATTCCAGTATATATACACCATAGTTTGTAGACGTTATAACTTTTACACAAACCAATTAATATAGACTTATTGGATTTTTTTTTTCCAAAGACACGTAGCAGAATACATTTTGACCTAAAGTATGCAGAAATTTAATTTTTTAATTTTTTTTTATTGGATATATCTTAGAAAGTAGAACATATTTTTCTAAATTATTGGTCTTTTTTTGTTTACATAAATAAAATAAAAAACAGTGACAATCAAATACCACCAAAAGAAAGATCTATTTGTGCAAAAAATGATATAAATTTCATTTGGGCACAGTGTTGCATGACCAAGCAACTGCCAGTTAACACCACAGTGCTGAATAGCAAAAAATGCCCTTGTCAAAAGGTGGAGTCAAGTGGCTAAAGCTCAAATCAGGGAAAAGAAGTCCTTCATTGCAATGAGGCTACATCCGCAGTGCAAGGGTTGACTAATCATTTCTGTCCAAGGGATGTACAAGTATTTATACTTACCTGATCCTCCTCCCCTGGCCAATGGCTGGTCGGATAAATGTCCCAAGTTGTGTTTTTTTTCTATAGGGTAAGAAGGTATGGAAGCTCCCAGGTAAATACTCACCCCAAACCGGAACTTCATGAGTTCCAATATCCGAACAACATGAGGTTTGCATTCTTGATGGTTCTCTACCACTTCTGTGGGGATAACACAGGCCTCTGTGTCAACCTCAGGGACAAACGCCCATCTGTACCTGCACAGTAATGAGAACAAAGTCAAATTACCAGATCATCAATAATTAATAGACAGTACTCCTTGTACCAAGCAGCCTGATTCCCACAGTGAGATAACATAATGCTCCCACTTGTACCTTTTCTAGTGGAAATTACCAGAATAGAAGTTAGCAAGTAGGTCTTTGAAAGACTAGAAAACAGCGATCAGTTTGTCACCTTTTTGTCCCGGCTTACTCAGGAATATTTTCACCTAGCTTATTTCAGGAGTTCCTGACAGGTAGAAAGGTTGAGAGAGGCTGCTCTAATGTCTCTAGCACAGTCTATAATCATGCACATACAGTATACAGACTAACTCCAAATTGATCAGGCACTGGGTAAACCCTCATTATATTTCAGGAATGTGGAAGGAAACTAGAAAAATGCAGGAAATCCAAAACACAGGGAGAACATACAAACGTCATGCAGATAGTGTCCCTAGAAGAAGTCCAACACGGTCCAAAGCGAACTTACATCTGAAAGAGTGGCATCTTGTCTGGGGGAAAGGAAAGTGTGGTGTCCAGGAACTTGCACGCAGATATAAATACATGTCCAAGCTGTTCTGCTGGATCTCCACATACACAGGCCCATTGCTCTCTGCCACGGCAGCTTTCTGTTTGTTCGTCTTGCTATTCCTAGAACGAAAAGAGTTAATGAAAATGATAACCGGACACACAATGCAATGTATATGCTTACTAGGGAAAGTGGGACCTTCCATGTTTCTGAAAGTCTAATAGAATGACCTTGTGTGCAGGCCTATTTAACCACTTGACCTCCTGAGGATTTACCCCCCTTCCTTACCAGGCCTCTTTTTGCTACTCGGCGCTGCACTAATTCAACTGATAATTGCGCGGTCATGCAATGCTGCACCCAAACGAAATTTACGTCCTTTTTTTCACACAAATAGAGCTTTCTTTCGGTGTAATTTGATCACCTGTGCGCTTTTTATTTTTCACACTATAAACAAAAAAAGGCCAAAAATTTTTAAGAAAAACTATTTTTTTATTTTCAGCTATAAAAAATATATAGTAAACTCAAAGTTGGTTATAAATTTAGGCCAAAATGTATTCTGCTCCATGTTTTTGGTAAAAAAAAATCCCAATAAGTGTATATTGATTGCTTTGTGTGGAAGTTATAGCGTCTACAAACTATGGTATAGATACTGCAATTTACACCATTTTTCTGCTATACAGCGCTGCGCTAGTTTAATGGACAATTGCGCGGTCATGCAATACGGTACATAAATTAAATGTACATCCTTTTTTTCCCCACAAATTGAGCTTTCTTTCGGTGGTATTTGATCGCCTGTGCGGTTTTTATTTTTTGCGCTATGAAAAAAAAAAGTCTGACAATTTTGAGCAAAAAAAAAAACCAATATTTTGGACTTTTTGCTATAAAACATGTCCAGTAAAAAAAAAAAATGCAAAAATCAAATTTAGTCATAAATTTCTGCCAAAATGCATTCTGCGACGTCTGTGCTAAAAAAAAAACCAATTGGTTTACGTGAAAGTTATAGCGTTTACAAATGGCGGGAAAGATACTGGGATTTTTAGTTTTTTTTTTATACTAATAATGGCGGCGATCAGCGAATAATGGCGGCGATCAGGGACTTATGCCAGCGACTTATGGCGGACTGCGGCGGACATTCTGACATTGGGGGGTACTGACTTGGGGTCATTGACATCCCCAAAAACACTAATACAGTGATCAGTGCAAAAAAAAAAAAAAACTGACACTGTACTAATGGCAATGGGGAGGAAGGGGTTACTTTATTTTGCAGGGAAGGGTTATAGGAGTGAGGGGAGTGTTTTACTAGGGGGCGGGGTGTGTGCTGGGCGGGACAAGGCTGATCGAGAAAGAAAAACTGTTCTTTCTCGATCAGCTCATCCTCGAGCTGACAGGGAAGTGACAGACAGCACAGCTACTGCAGCTGTGCTCTCTGTCACTGTTTGCCGCTGATCGCCAGGATATAGCCGCTAAGGTGCGGCTGTGACCCGGCGACTGACATCTGCGGCGGTGATCCGCGGGACAAATAGGGCGGTGGCGCGCCTCGCACGCGCCCCTTATTTGTTTACAAAACACACGTTTTAAAACGTGGTTTTGCCTTTGAGTGCCGCCCTGCCGCTGTATATGTACAGTGGCTGGGCGGCATGCGGTTAAGGTAGGAAAAGGTACAGAAACTTATTTTTGCCCTTAGCAACTGTAGAGCTTCTATTATTTTTACAGTTTAGGTTTGAAAATGAGACAAGGGTTCTAAATGGTTGCTACAGGCAGCAATTAATTTTTCCAGTAATGGAATTTTAATTCATCAGCCCCCTTAGTGATTTGAAAATCAGTTTACCAAAAAATGATATTCCAGGTTTACAAAGACGTTGGCATATTGAATACCTATTATTGAATGCCCATCTGCTACTGGTATTTTCTGGGAACTCTAGATTTCAGCATGAATCCTCCACAGCCCTGTCCGTTTGCCACATTTATTATTCTTATTATGCTATATTTTAGCAGGCACATTGCATAGAACGTAAAATTGAACCACAGAAAAGGGAAAGGTTAGAAGAAAAACAGGGAGATCATACAAACTCCATGCAGACAATGTTCCAGGTCAAACTGAGCTGCCAAATTGCAGCGCTAATCTGTGAGCCTCCATTCTGCACAGTGGTGAACTCTTCTTGTTAGGTTTCCCTTTTGTTTTATATAATGGAGATGGAACTAGCAGAAAAGAAAACCCATGAGATTATGTGGCAGACCAGAGGATTCCAGTAGGGTGACCCTGGCGATAAAAGATGCCAAGCTTACCGGGCTTCACCTACACCTGAAATATTGCCTCTGGGTGGACTGTCCCCTTAAACCTCTTTTATATTGGGTCACATTTATAAAGGTGAAACAAGAAATGCCTGCATTGCCCATAGCTTCTAATCCATCTTCTTCTATTAATAGAGCTAATGGTGCAGCGCTAAATAGATAGGCAATACCAGTAGATACATAGAAAGCTAATAAAACAAATGAATAGACAGATGGGATGCACAAACAGCCAGACCAGTGAACTGAAACCGGTGAAAAGGCTCATAAGACACTCCAAGAGCCTGTGAGCAACTCTGTGGACATATATCAGGAATCACAAACTCATATAAATGCGATCTAATCAATATAGTGGTAATGGTGAATTAATAAACAGTCCACTTCAAACACAAGTGAAGAAAAGCTTCAAATTCGTGAGAGTGCCACTGGTGTCACAATGCAATAGTGGTCTGAGTGCCCCCTCACCTCCTTGTAATGACCACAAGGGCCAACACGCTGTGTGGTATATACCATGTATCCACAGGAAAGACCTTGTCTACTGGACCGTCTTATGTACCACTCCAGGGCTGTTGTCATCTAGATCTCCTTCAGTCCCTCCTTAGCTTGGCACTACCTCTCGTCCCCACAGGGTCAGCTCAGAGACATGAATGAGCATACTACATAGCATAATACTGCTTGTTTATTGGATAAATACAAGCTAAGGAGGAGGGACTGAAGGAGATCTAGATGACAACAGCCCCGTAGTGGTACATAAGACAGTCCAGTAGACAAGGTCTTTCCTGTGGATACGTGGTATATACCACACAGCGTGTTGGCCCTTGTGGTCATTACAAGGAGGTGAGGAGGCACTCAGTCCACTATTGGATTCTGACACCAGTGGCACTCTCACGAATGTGAAGCTTTTCTTCACTTGTGTTTGAAGTGGACTGTTTATTAATTCACCATTACCACTATATTGATTAGATCACATTTAGATGAGTTTGTGATTCCTGATATATGTCCACAGAGTTGCTCACAGGCTCTTGGAGTGTCTTATGAGCCTTTTCACCGGTTTCAGTTCACTGGTCTGGCTGTTTGTGCATCCCATCTGTCTATTCATTTGTTTTATTAGCTTTATATGTATCTACTGGTATTGCCTATCTATTTTAGCGCTGCACCATTAGCTCTATTAATAGAAGAAGATGGATTAGAAGCTATGGGCAATGCAGGCATTTCTTGTTTTATCTTTATAAATGCGACCCAATATAAATGAGGTTTAAGGGGACAGTCCACCCAGAGGCAATATTTCAGGTGTAGGTGAAGCCCGGTAAGCTTGGTATAAAGGTGGGTGTTTAGCGGCTTTGATAGTACATCCATTTAAGCGCAGGAGGTTTCATGTATAAATCTTCTATTCTCCCTTCCATGGCCTACAGCATACAAGATATTCCTATCTGGCAACTGAATAAATGAGCATAACCCTGACATCTCTTACTTTGATGTTGTCTCCTCTTCCACCAAATCCTCTTGCAGTTGAACAAACACGTGTATCTGAAAGCAGGAATATACCATGGCATGAATTTACAGGATTTACAACAGCTCAGGAAATCTGAAAGGTTACAGGACCCTGTCATAAACAGATTAGAAATTGATGTGTTTAAAAGGAAAGTGCTTAGAGGAACATAAAGATGTGAACTTGAAAATGGAGTGTGAAGGTCCAGATATAATAATGAACCTAATAAAAGATATAAGGATGCTAGATTATCAGACATCCTACATGCTGGCCATCTAAAATGAGCCAGTGAACATAAAAGAGGCTAATAATACATCCAAATAGTATCCAGGAAGCAACAATGGGTGTACAGAACAATTTGTTTCCATTTTAGAGTGCATTCACACCTGTAAATGCACCCTTCTGGTGGTTACATGTGAGAACCCCCAGCAGGGATTCCCACGATTGGCTGCGCGTAGGCAGCCCCATTGAAAAAAAAAATAGGACGCTGCCAGTATGCAGCTTTGATAAAAGCAATGGGCAGCTGCTGGCACTCGCAGCTAATCATGCCCTCTCACATGTAATCACTCATGCTGAGATTACATGAAAGTGATCGATCCTGAACACAGGCAGACTGCGCCCAGGGCCAATCACTCGCATGTGATCACAGCATGGACGTTTACATACGAGTGAGCTTTGACTTCCAGCAGCCTTCCATTGCTTTCAATGGGGCTGCCTACTGGCAGCTAATCGCAGGAACCTCCGCTGGGGTTTTCCTATGTCACCACCAGCAGGGGCATTTGCAGGTGTGAATGCTCCCTTAACCTCTTCAGCTTTCACACCTGTACACCTCCTATTGGCCAGAGCAATTTTTACATTTCTGCTTTGGTTCTGTTTATTTGGTGATTATTTTGTCATTACTAAAGATAACTAAGTGACACAAATATAATTTCTTGGAACAAACAAGGCATTCTTTTGCTGCTATGTTTTGTTGAAACTATTTTTTTTTCGATGAAACTGATAGACAAAAAAGTAGCAAAACTAAAAAAATGCACTATTTTACACTTTGATCAGTTATTCAAAGGAGCAATATGACCAAAGCTATTTTGGCTGTACTTCTCATATGAATTACAGTTAGTTCTGCACTCCTGTTTCCCATTTTCACTCTACAGTTGGCATCCACCCAGTTCCCTGGACTGGCAGCTGGCTTAGCCTCTCAGTAAACCGCTGGGAGACTGAGCCAGCAGTTTCCGCTCCTTCCACTGCCCAGTGTGAGCCAGGCACTAAAGTACACATGATGAGAAAATGGGACAAAAAATAGTGCTTTCATAGCGATCGTCCGATAATCTGATCATTCATACACAGCTTTCAAGAGGTGTTTACGACAGTTCATGCAAACTATCCGAAGGGAGAAGCACAAAAATTTTTGTCCTACAATA